AAAAAAAAGTTTTTTTTAAATTAAAATAAAATAAATCTAATAATAAAAAATGTTTAGAAGTCCTGCGCCCCCGCGAGCACGCACGTCGCCACGTAAACACGCGTCGGGTGCGCCTACTTAAGAAAAAGACGAACGCGCTACACATGTTGGGTATTGCCGCGCACGCCGGAGTGAGAGCAATAATTCTAGGGCCAGTATTTTGGGGTATCTCTAAATTGATGACCTGTGGGGGCTTTTAAAGCGTCTTCTGTGGACTTTTTGGGGTACTGCAGTTTTTCGCCGTTTCACGGACGCACGCTATTTGTAAACTGGGCATGTTGAGTATCGTTTTACTCGTTGTAACCATCTTTTATATTTCATTTAAAAAACTGGTATTTTGTTGTGTTTTCGGGCATTTAATTTTATCACTAAATTTTGGGGTTTAATAAGGAGTTGCACTAATATTGCGCAACATAAAAATTTGCAACTACCACCATTTTATTCTATAGGGTCTTGGCATTCAGAAAATATATAATGTTGGGGGGTTTAAAGTAATTTTCAGGCCTAAAATGTGGAATATAACATGGGTGCAAAAAATGAAAAAAAGGCCTCAGTCATGAAGGGGTTAAAAGGCATTTGATTAACCATTTTGAATGTTTATACTTGCCACATCTAGTATGCCAAGATAGTAGTCATAAGTTTCACTATACGAAGCACCCTGAGGCAAATTAATTCCAGGTTACTAAAGTCGTTATTGCCCCTTGTTACCAGTGTGAGTTATGCAGTTCAAGTAGAATGATGTAGTTGTGTGTGTGTCTTAGCACACTACAGTGCTATCGAAAATAGTCATTCTTTAAGCCGTCGAGGCTAGTTATTTCACATTGGTGCCATATTACAGAAACCTAAGAAATGTGGAGACTTTCCAGGTCCGCTCTCTGATTAACCTTCCTGGCAGTATTCCCGAGTGTGGCTCGGGGTTAATTTTCAGTACCATAAGCGGTAACCCTGAGCCACACTCGGGATTACACAGTAGCGTTACTCACTTTGTCCCTCGAGCCGCGCTGTGTCCCCTGGCCGATGCCGGCATCCCGGTTCCGTCCCTTGCGAGCGTCCACATCGCAGGGGGGCGGAACCGGCAGGAATTAAAAAAAAAAAATAGAACAAAAAAGGAAGAAAAAAAAATTATCAGACCGCCGGGGAGGTTAAGAAAAACATTGCCACTCCATCTTAGAAAATTCATGGAATATCAGGGATAATTCCTAACCCTGGATGATTTCCCACTTACAAAATGGCTCACTGTGTGGGTAATACTGGCCCTCTCCATCTGAGGAAATAAGATGGTACAGCATTGGGAATCATTTGTCTGCCATATTCTGCATCTCTTTAATACAAAGATATGGTCATGTCATCCCTTGCCCAGTGGGACTAGTCTATTCTGACTTCTAATTTTGTAATTGGATAGAATTTTCCGTACACAACCGGGGGAATTTATCAAAACTGGAGCAGTTGGCAACCAATCAGCTTCTCTCTTCAGTTTGTTCAGTTAAGATTTGAAAATGAGAGAGCGAAGCTGATTGGTTGCCATGCAAATCTGCTCTAGATTTTGTCTGCCTCAATTCTGATCAATTCCCCCCAACATGTTGCATTCCATCACTGACCTGATTAATCAAGTGATACCATAGGAAAACATAACCTACTATAAGCTAATGAACAGGTAATGACAGCCATTTTATGCTCAACTACAAAATTGATTTTGTGTGTTTGTGGACTGGTGTTGGTTTGTTTTTTAATGTTGATATATTACAGCTTTATTGTTTTCTCTCCAAAGAAACAGGCTCTTCAAAGCCAGTATTTGGCTTTCCAGGCAGTGGATCCTCGAGTGCCCCTCAGTCAAGTAATATTGGAAGTTCCACCAGTGTATTTGGCAGTGTTCCTCAGACAAGTTCTAGTAATGTTTTTGCCAGTGCTGTACAGTCCAACACTGCTGCTCCAGCTGCTGGTTCCCCCGCACCTTCTAGTACTGTGTTCAGCAGTTCAACTTCATTGACGGTACCTACTGGGCCTAGCAATGTTTTTGGTGCTGCCCTGTCTTCGAACACTCCTGCAGGTTCTAGCGGTATATTTGGAAGCGCTCCAGCTTCAGGGACTACGACCAGTTCAAGCATTGTTTTTGGCAGCGTGGCCTCTGTGAATACATCAAGTTCAAGCAATGTTTTTGGAAGTGCAGCTCCTACAAACACTTCAGCAACTTCCAACACTTTATTTGGAAATTCCAGTACATCTACAAACCCATCCAGTGTACCCTTTGTATTTGGGCAGCCCGCTACTACAGCAGGTGGTGCTATGTTTGGCAGTAGCAATGAATCTAAGTCAACATTTGCTTTTGCTGGCCAGGAGAATAAACCAGCAGAAACATCTGCAAGTGCAGCTCCTGCCGCACCTTTTTTGTTTGGTGCAGGTACTTCAACACCAGCTGCTACGGGCTTTAGCTTCGGGGGGACAAATACCTCCAATTCAACAGGTAAAACAGATTTTCAGGTTTACCTAAGTTGGTTTCTTTATTCAGTACCCCTTTTCATGCTCCATTCAGTGTAGTATCAGTGGAAATGTCTGTTGTTGTTTTATGTGCTAAGTAAGCAGAAGCGTAAGCACTTCAGTTATTAAATAATTACTAATATATATTTTAACATTTATGGGACCTTTTACTAACCTTGATGGTTAGGTCACACTATTGCTGTGCAGCTACCTTTTTGTTGGAGCCGTTGCGTTTGAACAGCACCCCAACACACTTTGATGCACTGCCACGTGCTGTTTCTGAAAAATTGTCTTGTGCCCCCCCAAATGATAAAGGTGCCCTTGCTCCCCTTTAAAGCAAATGGGCTGTCTTAACGTGTATGTGTTACCACCCTGGAACAATGTAAGCCCGGTCTAAAATCGTTCTTTTTAATAACTTGCAATATGCAAGAACTTAAAGTCCCAAGAATTTTATGTTTGAGATTAAGCTGCTGAATTTCTATTACAGTTAATGTATAGTTAAAGCGACACTAAACTCAAGATCCACCCAGCTGCGTGAGTGACAGCTGGCTCTGCCTACCTAACAGACAGGGTAGGGGGCGGGTACAGCTGGCTCTGCCTCTAGATGGCCAGAGCAAGCTGTACCCTCCCCCTGTTCGTTCCGCCAGTCAGCACTGGAGGATCAGAGTGGGGAGGGGGGGGGATCCCTACAGGGAGCCGTGAGTGACAGTCACGGCTCTGCAGGGACAGGATCGAGAAGTGAGTTAGTGACGGTCTGTGTTCGCTCACTTCCTGATCTATTGAGCCGACCTGTGACCGTTTCATTGTCACACACCGGCTCGAACTATGAGGTGAGTGAATATCACTCACCTCATAGTTCTCTAAGTCCAGAGGCAGCCAAGCAACTGGTATTCTTATCAGATCAGCAGTAGAATTTTTTTCTACATCTTTAAAAGTTCCATGCACGCTTTAGATAATTTGATGATATTTCAGCCTATGCAGTAGTGATAATGTTTGCCATTTGTATGTTTGTAACACTTTTTTTTTTTCTTTTTCTTGCAAAAACAAGTAGTAGCATGATTGTGACCATATTCGGTGTTCCTGTGCTTCCATGCTTTTTAATTAAGAGGGCAGATTGGTCGGGGTAATTCCATTTTCTCAGGTTCACCTAGGAATTCCCTTTTTAAACTTCTTTGGACAGTAGTGCTGTGAAACCTTCACATTCAGAAAGCTGTGGGAATTCTACCTTTCTCTACTATCCATAGCAGTTTCACTTAGAACCACTCTGTTGCCTCTTGGCAGCCCTCTTCAACCGGTCTTCATTCTGCCGGCCCGTTCACTTTACCGGACCCGTAGAAGCGATCTAGCAACAGCTGAGTCGCCCAATCGCTTTTATTGTAAAGCCGGTCATCGGCTCTACAAACTTAAGCAAAGTCCAGGCGGCTTTAACCACCAGTAGTCTGTTTAATCAGGTCCGCTGCCTGTGGGTTAAAGACCCCACCGATTAAGGCGGAAGTAAAGCCCGGGACCCGAGCAGCTTTTATCCCTATAGTGAATTAGTACGCACAGCATTATTAGCACATTAGACAGTCTTACCTGCCAAAACAATCCCCTCCTGCACTGATGTCCAGGCTCTACTTTCTGGCCGGTGCTTCCATCTTCGTTCAGGTTCTGAGTCTTTGGACATCTGATTGGCCAGGCTCAGATGTTAACTCCTGCGCGTATCACGGCATGAATTCTGCCAGGCCTGTACACCGAGCTGTACATGCACTGCTCGGTGTACAGATAAAAATGTTGACAGGCAGGAAGATGCTTTTATGGCAGAAGAGACTTGCACAGCCTATTCTGTCAAAAGCTTTTTATCCTTTGCAGACACTTGGAAACCCGGCATCTCAGATGCTTGTGTACAGGAGATGGCCTCTGGGCACTACCAGCTAGTTTCTCTGCCTACCCAAC